TGTCAAGCCCATAATTCTGGTTGAACCACAGATCAGATTTCATCAACAGAAAGCCATCCCACTCCTAGCTAAGACATTCAAAGGTATAATTAGCCTCACTCGAAAAAAAATGTGGGTTTGTTCCAGCCCAAATCTATTCAGATTCAGATTCTAAACTTGAGATCTGGTTTTGCCTTTGCCTGATGAACAATAAAAACACATAGAAAATATTCACAGTGAGGATATAGAGATATATCTCATATCCTTTAACTACCTATGTTTCTGCTTGATAATGCAAGGATTACACTAATACAAGAAAAATATCAATAAAAAGTTTCATTCTTTATGGCTTATGTTATACTTCTGTACTGCTTGACACCAATGATTCACAAGGTGTAAAATATTAAATGTATTTTATGGCTTCTTCAAAGAAATGTTATAGATTGAGAAAGCTTTAAGTGCCCTAAGGTTCAATACTAATACGTTTTTAAAAAGTACTTTATACAGATACCAAAAATGCTTTCACTTCCATATTTAAATGTTCCTCTTTGTGCTGTTGTATTTTATGTAGTAAAATCTTCCATATATCACTTACTTTTTTGTCCTTAGAGGAGTGAAACAAGCAGCACTTCGTCCTCCGAGCCAAGGACCTGCCGTCTTCGCAGCGTGGCGTGTGCCCTGTGGCCGGCAGCGACAAGACAAAACCCAATTCAGAGGGGGCTGAAGTCATTTGAGAGACTTGCACTGATTCAGTGCAATCTGTATGAGCCCCAAAATAATTTCCCCCCTACAATAATTTGAAAGAAATTATCTTTCATAAGTTGAAAATAAGCTAAGCTATGACTGGTTTTGAAAGAAGGTAATTTCTTTTTACTGACACATTTTCCATCTTTGCTTTTTGAGTTGATCTGTTCTCATATAAATGCAGTATATTCAGAAGTTTGTCTTCCTGCTGTTCTAAAGTGTTTCTTTCATACGCATTCCAAAAAATGGAATGGAATAGAATGGAATAGGAAAGGAAAAGGAAAGGAAAAGGAAAGGAAAAGGAAAGGAAAAGGAAAGGAAAAGGAAAGGAAAAGGAAAGGAAAAGGAAAGGAAAAGGAAAGGAAAAGGAAAGGAAAAGGAAAGGAAAAGGAAAGGAAAAGGAAAAGGAAAGGAAAGGAAAGGAAAGGAAAGGAAAGGAGGAAACCAAAACAAAACCATTTTTCTGTTCCATGAGACTGAAATATGACTCATTTCAGATCTGACCCAACACAGAGGAATGGGGATCTGGTAGTTCCTCTCACCTCCATCAACACAAGGAAAGCTCTTTAGCTTGTACCCATCACAACAACCCCACAGCAATCCTCCACAGATGTTCTGCATGAGACTTGTACAGTGAGGGCCTCTAAACATTTTTACTCTTCTCTTTTCTCATCCTTACTTTTTTTCTTATCCTTACTGTCCTTGTGGAAATTTGGGAACAATGACCCTCTAATGAATTACTGAATATTCTTTTTTTTTCTGCTTGACTCCTACTCACAGAAACTATCAAGCTCATTGACCACTTAAATGAAAACTCTGATAATTTAGGCATCCTATAGGTACATCTATAAAACTCTACCTTATAAACTTAGAAATATTTTTGCATTTGCTATTTTTGTCACATTTCCTTAAAATAAACTCCATCTTCCACTTCTTTGATTCTTTCCTGGGGTTTTTTATTACTTTTTTTTTTTTTTAAATACAGTGAAATGAATAGCTAACCTAGAAAAGTATTTTAGAATCAGGTTTACATAATATATTTTAGCAAAGATATGGCTGCCTAGATCTCTCCATCACCTACTTTTCTAACTACATTGTAACTCAGAGGTGAAGCGCTGAGCATGTTCCATTATTTCTGGAGGGCAAGCCTGGAATAGAGAGAATTGAGATGAAGCCCCTCTGACTCCTAATTCAGCAGTCAAAGTAACTAGTAAAGCCACTGAGAAAAACACAGTGTGTTGTGCAAAGGAATAAAAACATTGTTCCACAGTCGGAACAAGAGAGATTAATAGGAATTTTGCCTCCTTATGAAAGGAGCCAAAGGCTCCTCCTTTGGCATTCGTCTTCTTTCCTTATCCCCTAAAAGTTAAGAATCTAGTCTAAGCAAATTGTTCATGAATTTTACAGCCAGTGTTCCTTGTCCTCTGTGTTGCATACAAATGGTCCTAGTCAGACACATTTTGCTACTTCTGAGTAGTTGGATGTGACAGAGTAAAACCCTTAGAGATTCAGTAAAATAAATTCAACTTCCCCTTCCACAAGCCTGAATTTTGCTGTATGAATTTACTATACAGTCAGGAAAAGAAATAGGAGGGTCATCCTTACAAAGTACCTAGCTCTCCCTTGCTTTAGTCTTTGTGACTAGATAGTGACTAACTTTCACCTGGCTGGTCAGGTGAGATGATCCCACTCCCTTTCATTACTTTTCATCCTACTCTCTGATCTGATTCCTTGTTCTTCTGTAATAAAGAGACCGAAACACCAAAGCCAGCCCTCAACATCAGCCAATAATCCTCAAAATTGCAAGTCTATGGTTCTACAATGCTCCCAGAAAACTAAAATACAAAAACTTTGTTTGCAATCACTATATTAACAGATGAATAATTATTCCTCAGAGATGATTTGTATTCATAGTTCAATATTCAGTGAGTAACTACTTATTTAATCATTTGAAAAAAAACAAGTCCAAAGATTTTCCTACATGTAACAACACATAAAAACCACTTGAAATCAATACATTCTCTCCAATCTCATCAGCACACTGTGTTTCATTTGGAATTAAATAATTTATGACCATTTTTTGCTTGTGAAATATAACCTACAACATACTGCTTTGGGCTGCAATCTTTTCGATATTAAAAAAGTAATAAAAGTAGAGTTGGATACTTCATAAATAAAGAAACTCACCTACATTTACAGTGATTTAATATATGGGCCAAAATAAAATCACAGGGAAACCAAAGAGATGACAAGGAAGGGGACCATATTATAAAACTTTCCTACCGATTTTAAAATGAGTGCTATTATGGGCAATGTGAACTTGAGCTAGCCTTTGTTTTAACTGACTAAACCAGGATTTTTCTAGCAGCTTTCTTAGCTTATGCTAATACAGTATCAGAAAAATGCAGTGTTTTCTCTTTATCTCCTAGTACTTACAGAAGGGCATTTACTTACACTACACTGTTTAGACACTGAAGTCATGTCATGGAAAAAAATTCCAAGGTCTTAGTAGCCTCCAAACAATATTGGAAATCTGAACATGAATAAGCTCAAATCATATGACATTTTCCCACCATAAAAACTGCATCCTGATGAATGAACTTTACAGATCAGTTTCTGACAAGTGATCAAAAGGAAGGCAGAATTGCCTTTACAACACGTCTTCCCCCCCGCATTTGCACAAAGATGGAGAGATGCTGGCTCAGGGAGTGAATATAAGTGATTTTGTAAAGCTGATGAAGTAATTTCATCGTTTCTCTGAACAGTTTGCCTCACCAGCCCAATGGATGGCTCTGCCCTCCCATCACAGACCACAGCTGAAGAGGAATGTGTTGCCTATACAGCAGCTTCCCTGGGACAAAAAACAGTTTCTTAGCTTAAACCACAGAATACAAGTTGGAGCTGAGTCTACATATTCATTTTTAGCTCTCTCTTGCCCTTGATAAAGGCTTTTCTTTTTCTTCCTTCAAAAAAGCAAGCAAGACATGATCCATTTTATGCTGTGCCTAAAATTGCTTTTGTTTTATACAAGTTTTACATCCTTAAAATTAGCTCATTAAATGGCAGGTCAGGATTATACCTCATGACATGACACTTTAGGAATGCATTTTTCATTATGAGTTTCATGCCAGTGAAGAAGGAAAAGGTAAACCAAGGCAAAAATCAACTTCTTGAATCAAGAAGAGATTATTTCAAGATAATTTTTATGACAAATCATAGTTGTTATGGTATGGGGAAAAAACCCTCCTGAATTCCTGGAGCTGAAGTATTATTATTTTCAAAGAAATAGAAAGCTAATATAACAATAAATAATGGAAAAATACTGCATAAAAATTATGGAATCCAGATTATCGATACTCACTTGAATTAGTATGTTGAAAAAACCTGAAGTGTCTATTTCCATCTAGCAACATATCAGACAATAAGTTTTTCATGGCACAAGTAAAATATTATTTTGGTATTCAAGAAAATCGTTAGAAATAACTGTCATCCAGAAATACAACCCACAAAATTATTAAGCTGTTAAAAACTATTCAATTTCCATGGACCTTAAAGCAATTTGACTGTTTGAAATCATAAATATACAACGGGAAGCTATCCCTAAGCATATTTTTTTATTATTTGTTTAAGCCTGTATTATATCATCCTATTATATTGTCTTGTCACCAGAGTCTCGCGCTAACTCCATCACCAGCCCTTGACTCTTCCTGCCAAATGGATTTGCCGATATCTGGAGAGGATGACTGTATTTCCATAACCTATAACTGCAATCTCTTAATTTCCCTTGATATACACATCCACAATGTCCAGCCATAATTTAGAGGCTTGCAGAGATTATGTGAGGCTAATCAGACCTCTGTCTCCAGTTATGAGAGAGACAGTCCCACTATAAGACTGATCTCCAATTATTTTTTTAAGCAAATTTTTACTCCTACAAACAAGTCCCCTTTCAGGCTTCCCCTGTGTTCAGGTCTTCTTAATACTGCCTGCACACAAAGCACGTATCTGGCGCTGCACCAAATGTAATACATAACGTTAATCAAATATAAATGTTATGAGGAACAAGCTGTGTTTGGCAAAATTTCTTGTGTCTTGCCGGTTCCCTTTGAATGAGATGAATGAAGAAAAAGGGGAAATGCTGTTCTGCCTGGTCTGAAAAAGTCCGTCAGCTTTTAAAATCCTGTTTGCAGTTTTATATAACCATCAGCAGAGGGCACACAATCATTTCCCCACCAAACCCCTCTGCTCATCTAAATAGTGATCTGCTGAGAAAATACCCGTGAAAACATTGTATTTTCTTTTCCTCCATCAAAATTTAACAAGGTTAGGAATTTTTCAACCAGCTCTAGCCCTAAGCTGCATATGCAACGGCAGGGAAGCGCCCTGAAGTCCAGAATCTGGCAGATTAGGGGAAAAAATTAAACATTCGTACACTGAGAGACATAACTGATATATTAAAACAAAACAAAACAAAACAAAAACACTTTGTATTTATTAAGCTAGTTCCTTAACTTCTGTAAATTGGTATAGCTTTATTTACATTAAGGTGATGATACAATATGCAGTCTTTATGAAGGTGAAATATAAAATATTTTTTTTTTAAACAACTACACAAACTGTTTTAAAAAAATGACTAATAAACCCCCAACATTTGTGGTAAATGGGAAACATTACTACTTAGAAAGCTAGTGCTTGGGTGCAAACTAGAAAGTACAATGTAATTAAAACATGGAGACAATGCATTTAATTTTTGAGGAAACGATTTTATGCATGAGGAAAAAGGAATTAGAATACTCTCGGGTGCCTAACATTCCTCTGTTAACTAAGTAATTTGCTCCCCTCTGTCCTGCTCAAGCCATGATCAACTATTTATTACATGTAATAAATATAAAATTGCAGGTTAACTAAACTTTGCTAGGAGATACTGTGGTAAAACTGAAATAATAAACAAACAACTTTGTAATATCTGTAGCCTTCAATTTTAAAATTACCTGGAAATCAACCACTACCACAGCTATGTGCCAACTGAGAATCACACGTTAAATGAAAAACTAGCTGAATGAATGAGGTAAAAACAGTACAGCACATTGAAAACCAAATTTATTCCCAAATCTTAGCAACCTGCTGGGAGATCTGCAAAGAAAAAAATGTATTGTTGGGATAAGTTTACTTGCTAAATAAGGTATTGTACTGGTTATCACTCAGTTACATGATGGAAGAGCATGCAGTGGCCATCTGAACGTTCAAGTTCTCCTTCTTCACTTTAAAGCAGAGAGATGACTTTCATACTTACATTTAGCAGCTGTTCAAAAGCATAGCTAAAGCCTTTCTTGTAATCTGTAATTCCTTTAGCAGAGATTTTATAGACAGCTTCTTTCAGCTTCTTCTTGTTCCTCACATTAGCTTGGACAAGGTGATTAAAGCAACTGACGTTCTGAGCATTATTGTTAAACTGTAAAATAAACAGAATAGTATTAAAGACAGTTAATTGTCTTTTCTAGGTACTGTAGTAGTAAAAGCTAATGTTTTCTTGATCCATGAGATAAAGCATGTCACACCTGGATTGCCATTTCCACAACATTGAGAATGTCCAGCAGTGTCTGGAGATTTCAAAATTGGGCAATAAATATATATATAAAAAAAGGTATTTGGCGCTTTACTCTTTGTTGCAATCAAAACCCTCTACTGTATTGGGAAAATTCTCACAAATATTTTTAAAGCTCATACAATGAAATCAAACTGAGAAATGCAGAGTTAGGGAAATAAAAAAAAATGGGAAAATGTTTATCTTACTTTTTTTAATCACTGAAAAATATTGGTTGAATTATCAGGTGACTTCCATATTGCACGTACTACGCTGTCTCTAAACCTACTGTTTTACAATGACACTTGCAGGTTATAATCAATTAGTACATATGTCTTACAGAAAACAAAATACACTCTTCAGGCAAAGGAAGCACATGAGAGTATAGCTATAAATAGGAGAATATTGTTAATAATAATACAATATTGTGTATTGAGAACACACATATTTGTGCTCTCTTACCCACATATCCGTAAAGACTACTCCCTGAAAAATTCATTTATACAAGATTCTGACATCATTTAAAAACATACATAGAAAATGCTTTATGTGCAAAATGTTGTCTGCACAAGTAGAAATCAGGTTATGATCTCTTTAAAATTTGTCTCTGTATAAAATATATATATGTCCTGGTAGAGAGAGAGGGATACAGAAATACGTCTCACTTTTTAGCTACCTCTGTATCTATCTATATAAAGTCAAAGGTGAGACTTCTCTTAAAAAATGCTGTAGTATGTGTGAGTCTAACTGTAGTCTTGAATGAAAGTGCATATTACTGCACATAATCTGTGTTGAACTCCATTTGAATGAAAATCTCTTTTTAACTACAACACTGAATTTTATTTAAGATACTCTTGACTAATATTAATAAAACTATTGTCTTGGCCAATTTTTAAACTGTTTTATCTATCCAGAGTTCTTGTGTGAGCTTTTTTTCTCACTGGCAAATAAGATGTCCAAAAAACTCTGTAAAACTCCATCTCAGTAAAGGCACTAAACCCCAGACCTCCTAATTTATGTTTCAGCTGAAAACAGATTATTATGTCTCTTCCTGATTAAGGGTCTTCAGTGAAAGTAAATGTAAATGTAAATGTAATTTTGTGCTGTCAACCTGGTGCAAAGCCTTAAAATAGCTTAAAAATTAGGCCCTGTTGGCTTAAGTCTCAATACTGCTAATTAGTTCAATAGTACTGTATAGAAGATAAGGTAAATAAGGTCACAGATTTCAATAACTTCTCAGACTACTTACATGTCTAAAATAAATCACTAAGTACCAGGCACAAAGTACAGAGCGAGAACTGCTATCAGCAGCAAACATCAACCTACATTGTAATTGTAAGACACTTACAACGAACAGAACTTAAAAGGATGAAGGGATTGATAATATCAAAGCATTTTTAATAATGCGTAATAATTCAATTCCAAGTTATTAGGATGCTTAGGAGGTACACAGACCTTTCCATGTCCCGGAATCAGATGCGTACAGATGCATGCTCCCTGCCCTTAGGACCAAACAAAATATGAACTACCAGTAATTTTTATCGAACATCCACTTTAATCAATGAGACTTCTGCTATTGACTTAGTAGGAGCAAATGTATAACAGCAGTACAGCTTATGGCAGAGATGACTGACAGAGAAAGGCATCATCCTCAGCAGAAGGCTTAGCCTAATTGGTTCCAGACCCTTCTTGAAAATAGCCACAGAGCTGCAACTGCAGGATTTCTGGCTGTAAGTGAGCAAATCCAAGCACTATTATTGAGAGCATTTGCTATGCTGGATTGTAACTTATGGTTCCACATGTAATTTCTTATTCTCGCAAAAAGGATGTGTCAAAGTGCTGCATGAACTAAAGACTTTAAAGCATGAATTTGTCCGCCTCATCTTCTAATATCATTATGGTACCACAAGCCACTCCTGCATGTATGAAGAAAACCCACTATTTTGATTTTGAGCATTAAGTAGTTCACAATTAATCTCATAGCTTGTCATCTTCATATTATATTTATTTTTCCAGGGAGCTTATTTTTGCTTATTCCTCATGAGTTAATATTGTCTTTTGGTGAGATACTGATACTGGTTTATGGCATAGCTGCAGTTTTCCTGAGAACCGTATTTGCTAAAAAATTGTATGGATTCTTGCTAGGCAAGGGTATACACTATGAGAATAACATATAAGAATCTTCATATGTCTTTCTAATTAATAAGGACAGTTATTGTTCTGTCCCAGTTTTATAGCTCTGTTTCCCAGGTGATTAAAATCTGTGGGAGCAAGTTATTCTCAAATGACTTTATGTAAAGTTTTCTGTCCCCTTTTCTATCAATATGCAGCTCCCAATGTGTCATAAGGAGTCAACTGTTTCTAAAAACATGCAAAAGCGTGAATAAGCATTTTAACTTTGAAAAATGCAGTGTTGTATTTGACCAGGCATTCTGCAAAAGAGTCAGTCGTATGTAATAATATGACAAAGGTTACTTATTTATTTTTGTAATATTCTCTTTATCAGGGCTTTAATTTTCATAATACCACAACTATAAATACAGTATCATGTATCTAACATATTTACAGTAACAAAAGTATGAAAACAGGATGAGATAATGAAGATTAAAAATATTTTCCAGTTCTCCCAGTATCACAATGCAAACTTCACCTTTAAAATAAATGAACACATGGAATTGGACTACATATAACCAAATTTTCAGCTTGAATATTCCTTTAATGTGTGCCGTATTTCCCAGAAAAGAATAATTTTGGTAGGACCAACCCTCCACTATGATTAAAATGTGAGACTCCCAACTGAACCCTAACATATCTATCCATTGTGTGATTTTAAAGCTGTTATCTTTTATAAAAGTTCTTTCCCCTGCCTCAAACAAGTTATGGTCATTTATTTTTCCATTTCCCCTCAATATCACGTGGTGATTTTTATTCACTGTGCTTAAGCAGCATGTTTTGCTGCTTAAGAAAAACCACAAAATAATCACACAACTGTAGTCAATTCACTTTGATGCAGAACACTGACACACTCAATGGTGTTTCTTACAGGAGTTTCTTACAGGAGTAACCAATAAATTACCCGATGATTATTAGGTACGTTAACCATGTGGGAGAGAAAACATTGTGCTGTAGAATTATTTCAGCTTGTCTTGACCTGATTTTGTAACCACGATTGGAAAAGTACTCAAGTAAAGTAATTTTAAAAATACAAGATCTGAGAATGAATTCTCATTGTGAGATGGGATGCGAGTACAGATCTTGTGCTTGGAAAGTAGAACACCACCACTATCTAGTAGGTAGCTCTGCTCTACACAAGCTAATTTCATCTCAAAAAGAAGAGTGAAAACACTGTTCTGCTTCATCAGTGACATTACATGCAGATTATTTCATAAGCTAACATAAAACTAACCATAAATTCAGTCTTATGGTCAGTGCATGCCTTGTCTTGGACTGTAGCAAACAGTGGTTTAGGAGTTCAAGTGACAATTTAGTGACAAGTGAAAATTTCTCCCTGAAATGCCACTAACATTAAACTGCAAATCTAAATTGCTTGCTAGCAGTCCTGCAAATGTATCAGGATAATTATTTCTATGAAGGTCAGGTATCTAGCATATGGATTGGTAATTACAGATACAAAAATGACATTTTAAAAATTGACAGGAATACTGGCTCAAACTGTTTAAGCAGTTAACAAGTAAACTGTACCGTATTTACACATGATGTAAACTGAACAAAGGGTCAAGGTCAAAATATCTGCATCTATAGATTGACAAATGCTGATGTAAAATGAAGGAGAGAAATAACACAATTGTGGAACATAGAGTTACGTCAACCAAAGTCTGCAAATGCTGTAATTTAATTAAGAAAAATATATGAGCCAGCTGTTTTGAAATATATCAGTCAACATTAATGTTAACATCAGTCAACAAAGCAGATGAGAAGAGTTTTTGATTAAATAAAGGAATCAGTAGATGGAACAACAACTCTCCAAAATGAACATTTACCTGTTTGCTAGGAGGTGAAGGCAAGTCTGAAGATTGAAATGTGACTGATAAAAATGTCCAAAGGGGGGAACAAAATTCAGGGCTACATTTAGTTAATTTGAACTCCAGTAAAATACTGAAGTAACTGAAAGATTTCAAGTGTAAAAGCCTTCAGTTTGCCCTTAAAACTGGCTTGTCATACCTGTTACACAACACTAAAATAATTTTGCTCTTTAACCAGTTGACCATGTGACAAATACCAGGACTATTCATAACTTTGAATTAGCCAAACTGAGCCAGTTTTCAGTTACACTCATCTGAAATATAATAACAATAGTGGCATTAACAATTTTTCACACATTAAGATAGCAAAAGACAAAATACCTGCAATAAGCCTATGACAATTACTGGTCACATTACCTGTCTCCTAAGAACCATAATAATGCTTATTTAAGTTTGGATGATTCTTGAAAACCAGTTAACAATATACTCAGTCAGTTAGTATCTAGCTGGAAGAAAGAACACGCAACATTTCAAAAACCAGTTGCCACTTCAGAAAGTCCATGTTCTTACAAAATCAAGTCCTATCAAAGGTTTAAAATTAAAAGTTATTACAATCCATACTTTATTGAATAAAATACCCTCAATGTATCTATATGAAATGTCAGTTGGGTATTTATCAGACTGGCATTTCCCCCTAAGTATTGCAGTAAAGATAAACATATGTCATAAAAATGCTATTGTGGTAAAAAGAAAATAAATGGAATTTGTGTACAATGCCGTGGGCTCAATGAGTCACTTACAAAACCACAGATGACATTTGGAGGCAAACCATTCAATTGTTAAAGCCACCCTATACGGTATGTCACTACCAGTCACAGCTTCTAC